CCTACAGTTTTACGCCGACTCCGAACGGCGATTGTATTTTTATGAGAAGCTGTTTTTCATGGCAGAAATACACTCGGAGGTTTGCCATTGCCTGCCGAGGGACGACCGCTGTTAAGAGAAACCCGTTTTTCTATATTTTTTTTCGATGTTGCTTTGACTAGGGCTTGGACCCAGGCGTTGCGGAGTGGAAGCGCGCACTGCTTACCACTACACCACAGCAGCCGACAGTATACTATAATAAATGGAATAATTGCGTATGTAAATTGGCAGACTTTGTGGAATTTTGGTCCAAATACACCTGCCCCAGTACTCTCGTCGCCTATCTCTGATCCATCGGTATACCATGCTTGGGACCTTTCGTCAATCATAGTTATTATCACTTCACAGGAGTCCCTTTCAGGAATTCCGACCTTGTTGGGTTTGTAGAAGGATAACTCGGGATTATCCAGGAATGGCTTTAGAGCCTCCAAATAACCCCGAAGATCCCAAATTTTCTTGCCGATCATATTGGTCAGTCGTAGGGCCCACATCCCATATAACGGTAATTTAGAAAAATACGAAATCTTCGATAAAATAGTAACTGCCGAAGCTACTTTATTCAAACTCAATGTTTGCAATAAATCTTTAGCAAAACATACGTTTATGATAAAATTTTGGAAAATGGGCGTGGCACCGCCCACTTATGACCAGGTATGTGTATCTCGGTAGCCGTTCGATCAATTTGTATCAAACTTGGTACGATTATTTGGCTTGGCACATAAACGCAAATCGCTGAAAATTATTGAAATCGGACTAAAATTACGCCCATGCCAATGCTTGAAACTTCAGGCATTATGTCTAACTGAACGTTTCGAACGTAAAACCACCCTGGTTACCGTGTAGCTGTAGTTTTCGGAAAGGTGAGAAAACTATATTTAATACTTGCGCCGGGTTTTGTCACCATTGTCGCGACAATTTTGTCAGAGTGACAATTGTCAGCACAATTATCGACAATATTCCATATTATCACTGTCGTTTTCCAAAAATTTTCACAGTTGCCTACAAACATATATGAAACAGGAAAAATGTCGCCGACAATTCTGGCAGTGAAATTTTATAGAAAAATCGACAATTGTCGCACCTGTCACTTTTATGAAATAGGCCCCTGTTCATACCTGCCAACCCAATAGGTAGGCCAGGAAAAAAATAGACAACCCAACGATTTTACATTATATAGACCTAATACTTTCGATTGGTATATAATTTGTTCATTAAACAAATGAGTACAAAATTAAAAAAATAAATAATTACAATTTTTGAATGTTTAATGAAAAATATCCTGGTCAGAATTTTTTCAGTCAACCCACTCGCGAAACCTTTATTATATACTTGTCTTTTATTCTTTTTCTGCACCACACAGTGGATTAACTAGCACAGTGGGTCTCAAATCACGTAAAACAATGATTCGGAGGTGCCGCAGTCGTATGTATATATGTTTCCTTATTTTCATTAAGCTACGTCGTCATTAAAAATAGTAATTCGTCACTATATAGCTGAGTTTAAAGCCACTCTTCTCTCTCTCACTCTCTCTTTTGCACAACTGTACTTTAATTTTTCAAAGTTACCAGATCAAATACCATAAGCCTTTTATGACTTTGGGAAAGCGAATTGGAAAATGACACATACAATTAGACAGAGACGAAGTAACTACACACATACACCCCTGCCCCCCTGAAACACTGCGTCGTACACCCATATGTATGTAAATATGTACATATGTATGTATTTAGTCTGTACATGCGGTGACATCAGCTATAATTTTCACAAGCGACTTACATATTTAGTTAACTACCTTTATAGGTACATATATTTTATTATGCTTTCGTACTTGTTACAAATAGACGCCACATCAACATCATCGGCTGTGCCAGCACCAACACCAACGCCGGCAACATTAGAACACCAACACAGTGTTGCCACAAAACAATTATAAAACTCCTCAAAAACAAATGAAAAATCCTCAAAATCCGAACAATTTACTCAAAATTTTTTTATTACAGATATGAGTATTGTGTACTGCATACTATTTAGAGGTATTCAGTTTAAAAATTAATTACATTCTCCAATTCAATTGGTACATTTGTTCTTGCGGCTCAAACAAAGTATCACGATTATTTTGTATGTCTTGGTTTGCAACTATATCAGTGCTCATCTGGTCCTCACATTTTTAAACTACTAAATATACGTTCTGCTAAAGTATTAGAAAGGGGCTATATTAGTAATGCATATGTATATTTTTTTTAATTTGTTAAATTATATGAACCTAAAGAATCTTTTAATTCTAAATCGCTTTTTCTATAATTTTGTGTGTTTTCTCCATTCGTTATCGAGATTTTTCAAGTTCAAAATAAGTTGAAAATATAACGATGGAATGAAAAAAATTATCCGATAACATTTTAAATATTTAGCAACAATGCAGATGTGCTTAAAAGTGAGAACACCACACAAGCGGCTTGACAAGCCAAGCGAAATATCCCTTTGATTAAAAGTATTTATGCTGGGTGTGGGGATGCTTGAAGGTTTGACAAGCCGTTTGAGGGAAATGTGAACAAAAATCATTTTTTTTTTATTTTCTGTGTGATAAAATCGCCTCATTCGCAACGGAATTTTCACCGAATGAGGACGCAAGAGAGTGTGAATCGGAAGAAACCTAAAATTCTTTGCTAGAACGAGTCACGTTTGCATGGTTTATGGCGAAATGGGAAAAATAGGTTTGAAGAATGTTTGACAAGCCGCTTGTGTGGTGTATTTCGCTTTTTATAAAACTTCGGAAAGCTTTTTGTCCAAAAATTTGCAGAGTGATTCTAACAACTCTCTTTTGTAAAACATGGTTGCATTTGTAATCTGCAAATATATCGAGAGAAAATTTCTCAAAATAAAAATACTCAAGCGCACCCGAAATTCCCCACGTTTTGAGGAATTACTCATAAAGTGGCAACAATGCACCAACAGCAATCACATCGCCGGCAACAACATTGATATATATAAGTAAGCACCGGTTTAATCAACCATATGTATATATGTACATATATATATACATATATATGCATGTATGTTTCTATATACCCAGCAGCAAATCGAGCTTGTTCTGAGCAAACACCGAGCTAGCTTAAAAGAGGAGGGTACTGGTTTCGGTTTAACCCAACACACACTGCGTGCAAATGTCTTTATTTAGATGGCGATATCCTACGAAGAAATACTGTCCCCGCGAAAGAACTTTTGAACCTGTTTAAAATTGATTCTCTTTGGACAGTTATGGAACAATTACCTTGTTTAAGCTAAAATTTTTGGATATCTTTGTATTTTATCTTTTGTGCCAACTTCCGCCAATTGGCAAAAGCTAGTTGAAGCCAAGTTCTTCTCCGAACGATCTTTCCATCGCAGCGGATGGATATGTGTTTGTGTTCATTCTCTGTAAAAGCGTAGATAATCTTAGCATATCGGTCACTTGGTCGCCGTTGTTGTTATAGCTGGAAATCCTCTTGGTCTTGATAGAATTTTCGGAAGTATTTGGGCCACCTTCTTTCTATTACAGTAAGTACATATGCCTCGCTTTCCGTTGCGCCCGATCACAGCGTGGTCGTGTAGGCGGCATCTTTTTTTATGCAGCGGCATGGCATTCTTCGGCGTACCAGTTGTTCTTTCAGGCTCGGTGAAATCCGTCTACTTCTTCGGCGTCGCTACGCTGTGAGCGGAAGATATGGTCCCATATCGGTTTGTTGAAGAGTGCTGTCACAAAGATACTTGTGTTTACAATTGTTCGACATTAAGATTCCTTTGTATTGCTGGGCAAACACGGTGCGTCTAAATATGCCTTCGTTGCTTATCGTGGCATTGAAATCACCTAGCACAATTTTCATATCGGCACGGGGACAACGCTCGTATGTGGGTGCGCTCCAAAGCGCTCATTGGGTACAAATGAGCGATATGTTGAAGAGTCTGGCTGTAGTGCGAAGTGCGGTAAGACTTTTGTGGTACTTTTTGTTTTCATTTTCAAATTTTTATTTATTTTTTTTGGAAAATCACAACATCCTCCAGCGCTATTTGAATTCGCTATCAATGACGTCAGAAGGCTACTGTCAATTGAGCAACTAGCAAAACGCGAGTGTCAGTTGTTTCGCTTTGCATCCGTTTTGCAGTAGTGCGGAAGCAGTTCCAAAATGTATAGTAAATTTTGCTGCGGGTACATTTGTAGATATAGCTACATGTACATACATACACATATCTGTTTATACAACAACAGCATCAACAACATTGACATCAATACTTGCCGGAGCTCATCGGCAACGACCTCAGAATCGGCAAACCTATATTCTTTCTACAACAACAGCACCTAAATCTTGTTATGGCCACTTGACACAGTCATTCTATGCGGCTACAACAAATGAAATTTTCTTATGAGTATGTGGTGGACACGACGATCGGGGAATAGCACTAGGAAGCTCCCAAACAATTGTTAGCTTCAGTTTTAGCTTGAATCTCGTCGAATGCGCAAGTGATTTGAAGAGACAGTGAAAAAATAAAGCAAAATAATATTTAAATTATTGTTTCTACTAAATTGTAGTATTACAGCAAGAGTAAATATATAAAAAAAAAATGCCTGGTAAGTGGTAAATTTTTTTAACTTTCTAGTGCAAATTTGTGAAATACTTTAAACTTGTGGGTTGGAAAAGCGGCAAGCGATATTTTGAAAACGAAAAATCAGAACTTCGTTATACTATATCGATGGCTGAGTGGAAGATCGACCTATCTCGGCAGCCAGTTCGAAAACATTCTATCTCAAAAAACTTTTCAAGAACGCTCTATTTCAGAATTCGTTTGAAAAACGCCCTATCTCAGCTGCCGATTCAAAAACGCCCTATAACAGCATATTTTCAATACATTTTGAAGTGAGATAGGGCATTTTTGAACCGAATTTTGAGATAGGGTGTTTTTCAATAAAATTCTGAAATAGGGCGTTCTTGAAAAGTTTTTTGAGATAGAGCGTTTTCGAACTGGCAGCCGAGATAGGTCGATCTTCCACTCAGCCATCGATAT